GGGCTTCATGGTCACCCCGCAGCTCCCTATCTCCGGACCTCTCACAACAACCAGGCGGAGGAAGAGCCCCCCCCTTTTGTGTGTGTGTGAGTGTGTGTGTGTGTGTGTGAGAGAGAGAGAGAGAGAGACCTATTTTAAGTGCTAGACTCTGCTCAGAAAAAAAATGACTAGGCTTGCAAGCAGAAACTGTGAATAACGGCTGGATGCGTGTTTTAGATGCCCTCCTCTTTTGGAAAGCAGTGAAGAGGAAAATAAATTTCTTTAAAGGAGCCAGGGTTGTTATTCGAGGAGCTAAGATCATTTGCTCGGCCGCCTCTTCCACCACCTGGTTTCCTGTCTAGCCTTTGGGCAGGCACGGGGAGGGTCCCGCAGCCGGCTCGAGAGGGTGCTGGTCCTGCACGGTCAGAGCAGTGGTTCCCCACCTTGGGTCTCCATGACTAGGCTTGCAAACAGAAACGCCTGTGAAGAACGGCTGGATGCATGTTTTAGATGCCCTCCTCTTTTGGAAAGCAGTGAAGAGGAAAATACTGTAAATTTCTTCCAGTCCAAGAACCTCTGGGGGAGCCCAGGTTTTGAGCCTCACAGCCGCTTCTGTAAGGGAAGAGCGACGGCCGCGCACGATCTGTGCCACTGTTGGTGAAAATATTCCTCAAATGACGGCCAGGTAACGGCTGCCTTTGGCATCGCCGGGCCAGAGATGTGTGGATGTTCCAGATTGTGTTGACGTGCAGGACTCGGGAGTGTTTCGGGCTGCCTGTGGGCCGGATCCTCTCCGCCGAGGATCTGGAGCAAATGGGTGAAACGAGGGCGGCCTGGCCCGCTGGTGGGGATCCCTGTTGTGTTGCAGCAACACCTCGTAGATCCAGTGATCCTCTCTTCCCCCCCCCCCCCCCCCNGAAGGCGCGGAGAGCAGGCCAGGAAGTCTCGCTGCCTCCCACCTTTCCAAATTGTGCCATCATCCTGTCACTTGTCTCAACGGTGGTAGACCCACTGACTCCATGGGATTTCCCTTTAGCGGTTGTTGCGGTCGGACTGAGACGAGGATCGGGGGCTCCTGCCTGTTGACCCACGTCCAGGAGGAAACGGAATACCCTTCTCTCCATCTTTAGGGCTGTAAGAGGGACCTGTAACAAAGCCCTGATCCTTTGCTGCCCTTTTAAGACGCCTCATCGCTGTCGCCTGAGGGGGTTTCCTCCCTTGTTGTGCGGGTATAGAATGGGGGGGGGACAGATTTGACCATCCCCCCCCCAGGGTGGAGCAGGGGTCAACATTAGCTGCAGAGTTCCCAGCTGCGTAATGGGTCTCCTTGAAACTGGGAGGGCAGAGGCTGGGGGACCCCTGCGCAAAGGAGGTGCCGTTTTTGACTTCCCAGTTGCAGGCACCCAAGGTCGCTGGGAGTCGGTGCTCCTTCAGATGGGATCGGGGTGTGGGGGGAAGGTGGAGGCCACTGGATAGCGTGAGACGATGGTGGGGAGGAAACCAAACCGCGGAGCTGCCAGGGCAGCGTTGTGAACTGGGGAGCCCCAGAAGGGCGGAAGAGGCCTCAGGGGCTGCCGTGCCACCGTAGCTGCTGTGGGCGGCCTGGCCTTGCAGCCCACAGGGAGCCGAAGCGGTGGCTGCTCTTCCCTCCACATGTGACCGAGCCACAGCCCTCAGATCGACCTCCGCTCGTCGCCCAAATTAGTCCCAGAAAGATGGTGGACCTTCGCATCGGGAGACTTCAGCAAACATGTGCCCGAGGAGGCTCTGCCTGCTGTCGGGATCTTTCCAGGCAGGGCAGAATGTGTGCCAAGGGGTGCTGAGCGCTAGGAGGAGCTGAGGAGCCTCCCAGCCCCCCCCCCCCGTGGCGCAGGGCGCTCTATTTGGTACACAGAGAGAGAGGAGGTGGGAGGAGAGCAGCCTGCGTGCCAGCCCTGGAGGGTGCGGTTTCCTGTTTATTCCTGCTTCAAGTTGCATTTTTGGAATCTGTCCACTTCATAGCAAACAGACACAGAAAAATACTACTCCTTCTTTCCCCCCTGAGGACTAAATCCAGATGAACCCACGTCCCTCTTAATGGGGGATGAACACACACACACACACACCCAAGAACATAAGGATCCCTTGAAAACAGGGAGGGTGCTCGTTGGGGAGAGCCACCGGTCCTCCCCCCCCCCCCCCCCC